CCCCTCTAATTAAGTCAACATGACACTAAGGTCATGCACTGTCTTCATGATGTTGTAATGACCATTCAGATCTGATAGCTTTTCAGAAAGGGAGGGGCTTTGATGCCATGGCGATTTCTGGCGTGACGCTGTGACCTTACGTTTGACTGTAACTTCCACAAACAGCCTCCGATTTGCCCGAGACTGAACATCACATCACCAGTGTGGTAAAGATAGAGTATCTCCTAGTGGTGAGACGTGTAATGGTGGGCTCAGAGGGGATGCTGAGTCAGGGTGAGGTGTGGACGAGGAGGCCGTTCACGGTTTCTGGTGTCGGGGTGGTTGACTTTCTGTTCTGCCAGACGTGCCCTGGTGCCCCCGGCTGCCGGCCAGGACGGAGAAGCGCGGAGCTGGGTTTGGAGAGCGTAGGGGATGGAGCGGAGGGGGTGCGGAAGGAGGGCGAGCAGCTTCGCTGCGAGGGCCGAACGACGCTGCTTGCAGCTTTAATTTTTTGTCTTATTTGTGCAGCAGCTCCGCAGGGAGTGTCTGCAGCTCTTCCTCTGCAGCGACAAAGTGAAGGAACTACCCAGTTGGCTGTAGCAGATCATGAGTAACGCTGCAACGTGCCCTTCAAAATAAGAGTCTGAACAGATTTTTTTTTCCTGAATTAACATAAAAATGCATGAATTTGCAAGTTCTTAAACCTTTAACATGTTTTTAAACACAAATAAAAACTACATCATGAAATATAAAACTACTGACGTTTTTTATGAGTCATTTTAACCATTATGATCTATTTATTGACTATTTGTCACCTGTAATATATTTCTTTTGACTGTTTCTATTAGCAGGCTTTTACTTATTGGGAGCTATGTTAACCAGGGTTACACCCTCCCCTCTTAAATGTATGCAAGTCCATTTGCATAAGACATAGGTCAGACTACCTGGATATCGTGGATTTCAATAGAGCTAGTCACAGCCTCACTTAAGCTCTGGAACAAGGATTGAACTATGCTAACCAGAGGGTTCCCCAATTGAGGGTAAGTTAAGTGCTTGGGCTTTGTCCTTTCTCGAGATGATCTTCTGACAGACTGTTCTGCTTCAGGGTCATTTCCTTCCATTTCACTGTTTACAGGTTCAGTGTCATTCACCTGAGTTTGAGTTGCTTCCTTATCATTAGTTTTGTTTGAATTCGACGCATTGTCCATTTCATTTCGTTGAATTATTTGAACTCCTTCCATTGCCGGTTCAGGTAACTTTTCCTTTTCAGCTGGGTTCTCCATTTCAGGTATTTTGTCTTTTTCAGGTAGATTTTCCATTTACGGTTTGTTTCCACAATCAGGTATGTTTGCATTTATGTCCATGTCCTCTTGAGCAATATCAGGCACTGTCACATGTTCTGAGGCATGAGAATTGTCTGATTTGAGTCGCTCATTTACAGGGTTTGACCTAGTCTTGGGAGGAAAGACTACTTTGTATTCTTCAAATGACCTAGAGATCTCTTTGAGAGGATCTGAAGGGTACTAAAGGGGGTAGTTTTCCTCTTCTTCAGAGTTGTATTCAAGCTCATGTTCGTCAGGATCAGCTGTTGGGTGTTGGCGTGTGCTTGGCCGTTGGGGCTTTACTTGTACTGCTGGAGGATTTTCAGGGGCAGTTGGCAAAAACCCACAAGGTAACAAAAGGTCTCTGTGAAGAGTTCTAGTGGGACCATTGTGATGCTCCGGTCTGACTGTATATACAGGGAGGTTGCCTTTTTGACTAACAACCACGTGGGCAATGGACTCCCACTTATCAGCCAACTTGTTTTTTCCCCAATCTGAACATTCCTTACAAGCACACGATCTCCGACACCTAGGACAGATTCAGTTACATGTTTGTCATATCTAGTTTTGCTATGTTCAGCAACTTTGCTAACATTTTTGGTAGCCAGTTGGTAGCTCTCCTGAAGGTGAGATTTGAGGGCTTTAACGTATTGCAAGTGAGACTGCTGCTGGCGATTGTTCAGGGGGACATTGAAGGCAAGATCAATGGGTAACCTAGGCTGCCTACCAAACATTAACTCGTACGGCGTAAATCCTGTTCTTTCATGTTTGGTGCAATTATACACGTGTTCCAGCCCTGTTTGTTCATCGCCCTGAACCAAGAAGGAGGAAGGATCCCACAGTGAGAAGTACAGCAGAACCACTGCACGTTGATCCACTGACCAGTGACCACACATGTTGTACTCAAGTAAACTGTGGTATGAATCTTTTGAAATATTAGACATTTGTATTTATTTTATTTAAACATTATTCTTTATTCTAACAGTATCATCATATTTTCAGAGAATGAGGAAAGCAGCAGCAGCAGTGAGGCAAATGAGATGAGGGAAAGTGAGGGGGACATGAGATGGTATCAGGAGAGAGGGGCATCCCAGGAAACCACGAGGAGCCGGCGTCAGGGTCAGGAGAAGGGAACAGGCCATGCAAGCAGGGAACCCAGCTGGAAAAACTAAGGGAGGAAATAGAAAGTCAAAAAGGCATGAAAAACTCAAGAGGCATTAAATGGAGTAAACAGACAATCAAAAAGGCCGCACAACTCCATTTTTCAGTGGGTTCAACAGGCTGCAGGTTTCTTCAGGACATGAGTATCCCTCTGCCTGATGTTAGAACCCTACAAAGACAAATGCAGCCCATTAACTGGAACCAGGTGTGTTAGGAGAGGTGTGTGACATGCTCAGTTTGAAGGTTAAAAATCTGACAGAGATGGAAAGAGAGTGTGTGCTTACTGTGGATGAGATGGCAATCACTCCCGGCGAGCATCACTCCATCACAGACCCAACTGGGATTTGCCACCACCGTTGTTCCTGGCCAGCTCTCCGCTCAGCCACTATGAAAACATGAAGATGGACACATGACACAGTTTATCCTTTAATAGTTAAATAAGATTTTTGTTTTAGTTACTCTTTGACATTTACTTATTGATAGTTATGTTATTGTTAATTCTTATTTCTTGTCAATCCTTACTTAATAACAAAATTGCAAATGCTAATATTATAAAGCAAGTGGAATGCACTTCTCTGCATTTCTTCTGAAAAATTCTTTCTTTTTTTTTTACTAACCATGGATTTGATAAACTGGTCATTCAATGCGATCGATGAGATTTTTTCAACAATGAGAACGGAGCAGGGGGCTCCCACATGTCCACAGGGGACACACCCGGTGGGATATATTTTGGATTCCTGGAAGGAGTGGAAGATCATATGCCTCTCCCAGCTGTCCATTGAGGACATCGAAGACGTGTGGATATTAGTTCTGATGATCACTGGATTTCTCCTGATTGGAGTGGGAGGATATCTGATTTTCTGGGAATTTGGGAAGACGGGAGTGATTGGAGGGCGACCCGCACCCACGGAAAGCACCGTCCATGTGGAGACTTCTCAGACTGGGATGTTACTCGAGGAGAATCGTAAGCTGGACAATGTTCTAGCTGCGATACCGGTATTAGTGCGCAAAATGGATGTCATCTCGGAGAGAGTCACCGGACAGTATGGACAAGCTTAAAACCCAAAATTGGCTTCACTGAAGGACTGGAATGATCAGTTTAAAGACTGAAGGCAGAGAGGAAAATTATCTCAGCCTGACCCAAACAAATGCTTGTTATCTGAATCTGACGCCCTGGTAGCCTTGAGCTGCAAGCAACTAAAACCCCCACGAAGGAATGCAGACAGATGCTGTGAAAACCCGAATGTCTAATTTTTAAAAGTAGTGTTCGACTACTGTTCTTGAAATATCGTAATTCTATTCTTACTACTTGAGTACACAAAATAGAACAACATATCTTCTTATGTTTGTAATCCTGTTTGTCTCATGTTTCAGCAGTCCGTTGCAGTCAGTGTTATCTGGAAAAATTAACAGAAAAATATTTAAATAATCACTTGTCTTCACAATCACATTTTCTTTATTATTCATGGTCTCTCCATTTGTGCTTCCATATCTGATGCATGTTCGTGTTGATACAGCAACCAGCAACGTATTGTACAAAAAAATCCCAAATAAAACTAAAAATGTAAAAAGTTTATAACTGTTTCAAACTGTGGGTAATATTTTTAAAACGTAGAATCAAACAAACTGAAATAAACTCGTCTACAGCTCGTCAAGCTTGTCTAAACCCTCCTGCTCACAATCAATTAGCTGCACACGATTAGCTCATTAAAGGTTATCTAGCTGAAATTGGCAACATAAAATATCATTGTTGGCTTATTTTGGTACGAAGCGGTTAGCTAACGCTTCACAATGCAAAAAAATGATGACATTTCATCAACTTACCGGAGGAAATCCTTCCGAAACACCAAAAATGAACTGCGGTCAATGCGGCAGTGGGGGCTGTTTGGAACTATTCGAAGCTGCATGAACCACATGACTTCCGCATTCCATTCTTTCCATAGAAGTCTATTGGTCCAAATAAAGCAATAATGCTTTAAGATAATCATAAACACAGTTCAGGGATTGTGTCTGGGTCTGGTTTTGTTCTGCTTTGCAAGCTGCTAAAGGTTATTCTGTTTGTAAAATTTTGCTTCATGTCACATCCAAGTCATTTGTTAAATCTGATGCATGCACTGTGAACACGTTGCATGCCCCCCAACACTCTAGATGCAGTTTCAGGGGGGAGGTTGCATATCTCCCTGTAACCTCCATGCAATATACCCCTGCAGACTCTTCCTGCATTTTGTCTCTGTGCAGATGCAACCCAGCACTGGTGAAGAAGTACTTATCTGTTAAAGTGACAGAATCCCCTTCATGGGAAATGTGCCCATCTCCAAAAAGCTAACTTTAAAGGTATTTTATTACTTAGCTTATATTAATGTGTTTAACAAACTTCCATGAATAACCGTTATGATTATGGTTTCTGATCACATTTCTCTTGCAACACCACACATGCATGCTTTGTGCACATCAAGAGCCTTTTAAAACAACAATTTCCTGAAAAGAAATACATTCTCATTTTGTGCAAAACTCTCAAAAATAAGAGGTTTGACTCACCTGAGTGCGGAGCCATCGGTATGTGTGAGGGGTAGTATTTCCCTGGTGAGAAGTGGCCGTCATGCTGCACAGAGCTGTGGCCTGAAGGAGCGGTTCCAGAGGCGGACCGCTCTGAAAGAAGGTGAGCCGGAGCAGCAAAATCCTGTCCTTCCATTCCCGAGGAATGTTAAGTAATCCGAAATCAAGAGAGGGGAAGGTCTGGGAAAAATCAGATGCGACCCATTAAATAATCCTGTCCTTTGTGTTTATGTGTTGCATTCAGTCGATCGCGGCTTCTGAAGCTGAACCCACAGCTCCCAATCATCTTCGCTGTCAGAGGATAAATTTAAAGCAGCTTTCATAATCACTGAAAAACACGATGAGCTTCAATTAAGAATGTGCAATATTCGGATTTGTATTTGTTTTCTATAACATGTAAATGAAAAACAGCTATCAAGAATGCTTCACTTGAATTATTTCTTTCTGCATAATTTTGTATATTACAGAAATATGCCAACTGTAATGCAGCCACTGTTTATGGTGGCAGAAAGGTGTCCAAAAGCCATGCAAGCTTCAGTTCTTATAAGTGTGCCTGGGGTAAACAAGCTAATACGGAGAGGTGCACTTATTATTACACAGCTGCACGCACATCGATCATGTCCGCACTTTGTTTTATGCACTTCCTGCTCAGACTAATGAGTCACACTCTTTCGAATGCCACACATCTATCACCCAAAATGTTTTAACATGCAGCGAGTCACGGGTTTTGCTACAGATATCAAACAGTTTTGTGTTTTTTATTTTATGGATGAGGAACTTTGTGTTGATCAGATCAGCCCACACATCAACGTAAATAGCTGCTTGCCTCCTCTTGTTCGTCCCATCATCTTGAGCTAATGCAAGCGTTTTATATTCTGCAAGATCCAGCTCTCATCACACTTCCCACTTATTTTACATGGGAGAAATTGTAATAAAGGTAAATGATAAAAAAAATCTTTAAAGCGAATACATCTCTAAAAATAATTGCAAAAACAAAGAGTTCAGCCATTATCCTTTGTTTTTAGGCTACATAGCATTTGTAGAAAAGGCTTTCAGAAACCTTGGTGCATTTAATAAGTGCATTAATAAAAATGTAAGTTAAATTGATAACTGAGATGCACTTGCTTCTGAAAGACTACGGTCTCATTTTCTGTGTGAGTGTGTGTCTGCGCATATCTGCACTCTCACTGTCTTGCCTTGATCCATTTCAGGTAAGGCAGTCAAATGAAGTAGTGAATACATTAAAGGTGGCATCATTTGTCATGACACAAAAAGACAAAATCTAGCGTTTTTAATATAAAAATTGCTTAAAAATTTGGCCAACATGTTACTGTAAGTAAAGGCTTAACAGCAATCAAATGAATGTGGTCGTATGTTCCTTCCCTGAGAAGGCTTCAAAAATAAATAAATTAATAAATTAATTAAACAAGCCAGCAGAAGGCAGCTCAGTTTTACACTTTATCAAGCATTTAATCAATCTCTGACTTTGCCTAATATAGCCCATTCTTGGTAGACACTCACGTAGGATTTGGTTGTGTGGGAAAAAAGGTCTTCAAACAAAAATATTGATCATAAATTACCTGAAAATACTTTGTTAGATTAGTAATAAGAATGAACAGGTAAATGCCCTATTATTTTCTCACCATGTCTCCAGTTAGAGCTACAATTCAAAGCAGCATTTACAATAGCTCCAGGGAAGGTCATCAATTCCCTATAAACGGAAAGTTCTTCATGTAGAATTAAGACAGGGACTGTAGGTAGCCTGGTGAACTAGACCAGATTATTTAGACTGGCTGTAAGGGGATCCCAGATGAATGGCCGCCCATCAGGAGGACTGCCTTTGTTTTCATGCTCTGAGAAAGCGCTTTGCAGTCGGCCATTACCTTCTGTTGCACCCAGCCGTTCCCTGCGTGCACACTAACACATGGGATAACAATCCGGGGGCATATACGAGCATTGTAAGAGGTTGCAGCTCTAAGTGGTTGAAATATACATGTATGCGCTTCAATGCGTCGGCGTTTTTTATTTATTTTTTCATTATTTAAATCCCCACTGCCTAAATGCACCCAAACTTGTTTTATTAATAATGTTTAATTATTCTAATGCTTGACTTAGCTAATGGAATTTAAATGCTGTCAATTATATTTGCAAGAAAACGTTAAGGGCATGAAGGAAGCTGATGAATGAAATGAAGCTGCCTGGATCGAGTAGCGGGAGTCAGGCGGCTCTCCGGTCCGCTAAGTGCGCCTCGGCCGCGGCTGCACAGAGACAATATTCCCCTACCCTCACAGACTGAACCGCTGCAGTCTGTTACAGTCAACACCCACCCTAGTTTAGCGAAATTGATCTAAAATGATACTGGCCCGTGTAATTAAAAACAGTTAAAATGTAATAAAACATATAGCCTACGTGTTTTAAATATATAATTAAATGTATGTCACTAAAAAGAAAGGACATTGAAATGAAAACAAAAAATCACCAACATGCAATAATTATAATGATTAATTCATATAATGTTATTTTCTGTCATAGAAAATGAATCATCGCGTTTCATTTTTGTAATTTACGTCAACATTCTGTGTAACGCGCAGCATCCTGGGCAAAAACAGCCTCCATCATGTCCCCGAAACCCAGACTTTATTCATTTAAATCAAACTATATTCTACGTATTAAGTATATAAACGTTCTACTTACTGGTGTGTTCAATCCTTGCATGACAATAAAATATATAATCGCCAAACTCTGGGAGAGAACGTGCGACGCCCATTTCAAATCAGAATCTAGGGTTAATGTGATTAGAATTTAATTGTGTAATATTTCCATCTGAAGCTGTGCAGCGCTCTGCTGCTTCAGTCTGAACGCAGAGGCTAGTGATGGGACCAGGGCTTCCGGCCCGGCTGGATCGCGACTCGGATCTCCAAGCAGCGATTTCTCCCCTGGTGCAACTGCGTGGCTCGCTTCCCGGAGGCAGAGAAGGTGTGTGTGTGCGTGCGTGCGTGCGTGCGTGGTGTGTGTGTGCGTGCGTGTGTGTGCGTGTGTGTGTGCGTGCGTGCGTGCGTGTGTGTGTGTGTGTGTGTGCGTGCGTGCGTGTGTGTGTGTGCGTGTGTGTGTGCGTGCGTGTGTGCGTGCGTGCGTGCGTGTGTGTGTGTGTGTGTGTGTGTGTGTGTGTGTGTGTGTGTGTGTGTGTGTGTGTTCTAATGGTTTCGTGCATAGACAAACAGATAGATCCCGCGTGACCGCTACTGCCTACGGGCGCTGACGAGAGGTGGCGCCGCCATCTTGGATTGGTCGAGCTCCCCCCTCTTTGACAGGGGCATTAAAGCGTCAGCATGCTAAATAATCCATAACTCCTTGAATATTTAACCAGTTTTGATGCGTTTTTTTTTCTATGCAAACCTCACACGTGTAGCTCGGATACAGGACACACGTTTTAGCTTTTTTAATCATTTTGGGTTTGCTGTGGATGTATATGTGACTCTTGTCCAGAGCTTAGTGTCAAAACTTGTCAAACAATGAGAAACAAAATGATTACAAAATGTTCATATAACAGGTGTGTGAGATCTATGGCAGGTATTTTTAAAAAGCACACTAATACATGACAGAGAAGCAGAAACTACTACTCAGCAGTTTAATAAACAATAATAAAACTATAATTCTTATAGATAACAATTGAAAGAAATTCTGTTTGTGCAATTCGTATACGTTTAGTGTCAATATAATTCAAAGAGAGGGTAAGAGAGAACAAGTAGAAGTCTGGATGACAAGAGCACAACAAACCATCAGAACTGGCTGTTTAGTGATGTTCTGGTTCTGTTCTCTCTCTCTCTCTCTCTCTCTCTCTCTCTCTCTCTCTCTCTCTCTCTCTCTCTCTCTCTCTCTCGCTCTCTCTCTGCATGTCTAGAAGGCATTCTTGTACATCCTTGGTTTGTTTTGTGACCCCCCCCACCCACCCTACTTTTTTCTCACCTTTTCTCTTTTCATTTCCATCTCAGTGTCCTTTAGGATTAAAAATAACCAAAAGCATCTCTAATAAAGTTTAGATATCAAGTGGAGAAATTTAGATAAATCTAACCCTAACCCTAACAGCTCCACCTGAGAGTAAAACTGTAAGGCTTGTTTTCGATACTCATAAATCAGTTCTGATTGCTTTACAGATGGACAGGACGCAGGGACAGAGAGGAAGAAAGAACTGACTGCTTAAAGGAGTTAATTTTTTTGTCTTCATTTATCTGTTACTTGTGTTGAGAATTTTTTGAAAATAGTAATTGAAAGCTTTACCTGAGCTAAAACCCCTGAAAGAGGACTGCTTTGAAGAACTTTTATCTGGAGCTCCTCTTCTGCAGTTAGAGAGGAGAGTTTGGCCATGTGGGGGCTGCCTTCCCTTCAGAACCACCGACTTAACCAATAACATCACGTCCGACGGTCGTGGCCCCCCACCTTCTTCAAATCTAACAAAATTGGTTTTAAACATTTATGCAACGTTTGTGCTATAAAAAGTTTTGTTTGTGCTACTTTCATTTTAGAGATATTAGTAAAGGTCAAAGGTCAACCAGCCCCCCATATTAAGAAAGTCAATCAAAATTGTGCTAATATTTGTTCTGCTTTCATATTTAACCCCTCCATTGGCATCAAATCAGCACAGCTTGGGTGCGGGGGGTTGGCCTAGGACAGGGGTGTCAAACTCAAACTCACACGGGGCCGAAATGAAACTCTGGGACGGAGTCGAGGGCCAAACTTAATATTTTTTGAAAAAGTGACGCAAATTTGCACATTTTCTTTATCAACATATATGCAATTTTGAACCTTTAAATTTGGAAACAAACATATTTCTGCATTAACACTGAATGTGGAATAACCAAATGACACACGAGCAAGTCCGTTTTAAATAAAAGGCATCAGTGGTATTCATTACTTGTGGTATAATCAGCATTTTATAAATCTAGTCAGGATTTATATTTTCTTGTTGTTTATTCATTTTTCTTATTTTTATTCTCTTTTCTCCTGTAATACGTGTCATCGCTGCTGTGACGTCTAGCTCTCCCCACTGAGGAACAATAAAGGCATTTTCTATTCTATTCATCTATCTGCAGCCTTTCCACTTCCTGTTTACTGTAGGTTAAATCTTTTCTCACGGGCCAACAACAAAATAAAAACATCATTTTATCTTAAATGAAAATGCAACATCTCACCTGTTAACTTTCATGTTTTGGAGCAGAAAAAGAGCATCAAACCAACATATTTAAAGCTCAGTTTGCTCCACTGGTTTACTGTGATGCTCACCTGTTCCAGCCAGATACCTGCATCATGGGGTTGATCTGAGCTGAGGAGGAGACTCCTGTTGTTTTGTTCATCTTCATCATAATAATGACAACATTAGATGACAACAGGAGCTCACATAGGTTTGTGCTGCTGAACTTGTCTGAGCAGCTTGACCACGTTGTTGTGTGTCGGGGAGGAAACACGACAGCAACCACAGAGTCGTGCTGGTTTGAGCGTGTCGCTGCTCGCTGGAGTTATATCGGCTCTGTCTGGACGTTAGTTGGAAAACTTTCTCTTTCAGTCGTGAACACATTACTGAGCGGCTAGAATCTCCGTTTCTGGGCTTCAACGTCAGAAAACAGCTGAGTGAACTCGGCGCTGAGTGAGAGGAGTGTTTAGTTTGTCCGAGACAGCGGAGCGGCAGCAGGCACTGGAAAAAACACAAAGGAGGGGGCGCGTCGGCTCTGCGCTGATGCCGCAAAGCATCATGGGAGTTGAAGTCTTTGCGGTAAAATCGGCCAGCGGGCCAGTTTTAATATATTTTTGATATTTATCTCGCGGGCAACATAAAAATGCTCCGCGGGCTGCATCTGGCCCGCGGGCCTTGTGTCTGACATATGTGCTTTACAGCAATCCTAATACTACGCAAGCATTTAGCGAGAGTGGAGAGGAAAACTCCCTTTTAACAGGAAGAAACCTCCAGAGGATCCTGGCTCAGAATAAGCAGCCATCCACCACGACTCACTGGGGATCGAGTAGATCGAGCACACACACACACGCACACGCACACGCACGCACACACACACACACACACACACACGCACACGCACACACACACACGCACACACAACATATATACCAAGTAGTGTGGTGTCTATGGTTACATTGTGATTTCTTAGTAAATATTCTATTTGGTGAGATAAACTTTATTGTATTTATCCTAGTGAATCTATAATTAAACGGGTAAACTAGTAGTAGCACATCCAATGTCAAATAAAGTAAAATGTTATCATCAGGAGAGGGAAAATGTTTAAGTGGTTAGCAACAGTGTTCAAGACGATGGCCCCCTCCATGAAGCTACCACAGCTCAGCAGAACATCATTGTAGCTTCTTCTGGGGAGAAAACACTTAGAGAAAAAATAAAGTTAACAGCTGAAATGGCAGGAAATACTACAGTTAAAGAGCAAATTGTAGAAGAAAGTAGCAGAGTGTGGAAAGTGGTCTGTGTGTCCTCCATCAGTCTAAGCCAATAGCAGCATAACTACAGAGATAACTGGATGACCTAGCCGTTTAGATGTAGGCATGTTGGAGGCAGGGCAAGGGAAAGCCGTCTTTACCGCTGTACACTCCACCTCCCTCTACTCCTCCATTTGTCCACATCTAGTCTAACATCGGATTTTAACCATAGGCCCTATCAACTAGAAATTTTTTAAGCCTAGTCTTAAAAGTAGACAAGGTGTCTGCCTCATGGACTAAAGCTGGGAGCTGGTTCCACAAGAGAGGAGCCTGATAACTACAAGATCAGTCTCCCATCCTATTTTTAGATATTCTGGAAACCACCAGTAGACCTGCAGTCTGAGAGCGAAGCGCTCGGTTAGGAACATATGGAACAATCAGATCACTGATGTATGATGGAGCTTGATTATTAAGAGCTTTATATGTGAGAAGAAGGATCTTAAAATCTATTCTGAATTTAACAGGCAGTCATTGTAGGGAAGCTAAGACAGGAGCAATATGATCTCTCTTTTTAATTCTCATCAGAACTCTAGCTGCAGCATTTTGGACAAGCTGAAGACTTTTAACTACATTCTGTGGACTTCCTGAGAGTAATGGATTACAGTAATCCAGTCTTGATGTAATAAATGCATGAACTAGTTTTTCAGCATCACTCCTGGAAAGTATGCTTCTAATCTTAGCAATATTCCGAAGGGGGGAAAAGGAAATCCTACAAACCTGTTTAACATGGGATTTGAATGACATGTCCTGGTCAAAGATAACACCAAGGTTCCTTACTTTGTTTCCGTAGATTAATGTATGCCATTCAGGTCAGGTGATTGACTAAGCAATTTCCTTTTCTGGATTTCTGGTCCAAAGATGAGAACTTCAGTGTTGTCTTGATTTAAAAGCAAAAAGTTTTGAGTCGTCCAATTTTTTATGTCTTCACGACAAGCCTGTAATCTAACTAACCGATTAGGTTCATCGGGGTTAATGGATAGATATAACTGAATATCGTCAGCATAACAGTGGAAGTTTATCCCATGCTGTCTAATGATTTTACCAATTGGGAGCACATATATAGTAAAAATAATTGGTCCAAGCATTGAACCCTGTGGTACTCCACAAGTAACCCTGGAGTATGAAGAAGATTTGTCATGTACATTTACAAAATGAAATCTGTCAGACAGGTAGGATTTAAACCAGCCTAACGCTGTTCCTTTGATCCCTACAACATGTTCAAGTCTTTCTAAAAGAACATTGTGATCAACTGTGTCAAAGGCAGCACTGAGATCTAACAAGACTAGAACAGACACAAGATTCTTATCTGAGGCCATAAGAATATCATATGTAACTCTCACTAATGCAGTTTCAGTGCTGTGATACTCTCTAAAACCAGACTGAAATTCCTCAAACAGAGCATTAGTGTTTAAATGCTCACATACTTGGATGGCCACTATTTTCTCCAGGACTTTGGATAAAAATAAAAGGTTACATATTGGTCTATAATT